GTCACTCGACAGCGTCACAACAACCGGCGGGTGGTTTAGTAAGTCACGACCGGCGGTGCTGGGAAAGCACGGTTCAGTCGCAGTAACGATGGAGTTGCCAACAAAACTGCGCTTTATTTTCACACATCTTAGATCCGATTTCTCAAATTCGAACTGACTTACATATATTTACGAACGGTGGCCACTGCACGGCTAGACAACTAAATAACTACCAGATCAAGCTAGCCGTGTTTTAGCCCGATCTCCACATCAGATCGATAACTCATCGGTCCATATCCCGCCGTTACCTTCCCCGTCCTCGCTCCTCGCCCACCTGATGAAGGCCGGGTCCCGCTCGTAGAAGACGGCCGTCTGGCGGGCCCGCTCCGCGTCCCGTGTGGCGTACAGCATCTCCAGGGCGGTGAGGGACAGCTCGTCCTTCTGGGTGGCCAGGAACTCGAGAAGACGCGGGTCTGTGACCCGGCTGGTGTCAGCGGTCTGGCCGGTACGCGCGCCCAGCAGGCCCACAAACAGCTGACAGCGGTCCACCTCGGAGAGACACAGCTCCACCTGCCTGTGGGGGAGGGGAGGGGAGGGGAGGGGAGGGGAGGGGAGGTGAGACAGCTGACAGCGGTCCACCTCGGAGAGACACAGTTCACCTGCCTGTGAAAGAAGAGGGAAGGGTAGAAGACACAGCTCCATCCGCCTGTAGGGGAAGGGAAGGAGGCAGGGTAAATGTGAACGATACAGGTGGAGGTTGATGCACTCACAATTTGGACGGACATGGCTTTACCTGAGATACTTGGAACCAATACCTCAAATCATTATGATACCAACTCGTCAGGTTACGTAGTGACCTCACCATTCCTATCTCTTCCCACCACGTCAGCTTACCAGAGTTCAACTGGTTATCCTGACACGCCGCCGACTCATCTCACCCTATGAGCACACATGCCCCTGCACCCCGTTCCCCATTAACTCCCTTTAACTCCCGTCGGCTCACCTCGCCCCTCGTAAGCTCATCTCACACCCTTCAGCCCACCTGTCCCCCATGGCATCACCTGGCGCTCTCGGCGTCCTGAGCAGTGATTCCCCAGCGCAGGTCGACCACCTGAAGGTCCAGGCGGAGCGCCCGGGCGCGGCTGCGCAGCTCCGGCAGCGCGTGACGGATCAGCAGATCACGCTCGCCGTGGAAGTCCAGGAAGGTGGACGAGATGAAAACTCGCACCGTGCGCCAGCTGTGGACGGGGAGAGGGAGGGAGGGAGAGAGAGAGAGAGAGAGAGAGAGAGAGAGAGAGGAGAGAGAGAGAGAGAGAGAGAGAGAGAGAGAGAGAGAGAGAGAGAGAGAGACCTCAGCGCAGTGCAGTGAAAGCCGCTACTGTTTAATACCAACAGTGTTGGTCACTGGCTCACTCGGTGGCCAAAGTGTTGCATGGCCTCATGATGATTACTGTACCAGTATATGTACTAGTATATAGGCCGAGCCAGCAGATGTGAAGGGATGATGGGGGGGGGGGGGAGTGAAAAGCTAATAGATATCAGCACACCTGTGAGACGCATATTAGGGGAAACAAAAGTATTCATAATGTTACAAATATCTATAAAAAGCTATTGGCACGACGAAACGCGGTTTTACGAGTAAGCCATTAACACAACTCTGGATAATATCGCAGGTGAAATAGTTGTGGTAGATTATGCGCATCAAGGGAAGTCACGTTTGTCGATATGATAGCTATAATAGTGCCTTTACTTGGGGAGAACAGTTAATTAGGGTTTAAGGGCACGTCGACTGCGGGGTCATTTGCGGAATAGTTACCGTTGATGAAAATACAAAAACAAATATAGAGCATCTGCTATAAGCCAGCGGCCAATGATGAGCATCATGAGCACACGACTTAGATAATGAGGTCCTACTGCGGACTGTAGAGGCACGGACGACCCTTATATCATATTTCACAAGAAATGGAGAGAAAATTGGCTATGTGTGTATGTAAGTACGTCATATGGCTCAAGTCTGTTGACTACACCTTCCAGAGAAAACAGCCACGCTGTCTTATTTGTACAAATCAGCGACTGGATCATAGGCAAAAATAAAACGATTTTGCAGCGCCTATCGATTGTTGATCGTTGATCACTGGAAAAAGTGTATCACTGAGATAATTTCCAAGAATAATCGACGGATAACGATCTTCTATTAACGAATATTGTCCAGCAAGCCGTAACATCCGAGACCGAAAATAACAGCTGATTACCAATTTGGAAGAGGACTGACGTAACCCACCACCGGAAATGAGGTCTATTATCGACACTGCAGCAAAGCCAACGTATCGATTCATAAAAGCTTTCGAGCTTTTCAAATTATGCACTATACAGGGATATATTGCTATATGTATTAATGAAAAATTGAGCTAGAACAAATCTTATCTTGCTTCTCCAATTTTTCCTCAATCAATTAGTTCACCGCCCACTATGCGGCGCCACCCCTGTCCCTCTCACCGTGCCACGCCCAGGCCGGCCTCGGAGGCCAGGATGGCCTCCCGCAGGTTGATGGCCGGCAGTCTGATGTCACGGCGCAGGTTGTATTTGACATCGATAGCCTCCACGGCGGCCAGCTGACCCGTGGTGCCGCGGTCAGCCACGAACCTGGCCACGGAGGGATAGAGGGGCGGTCAGAGTGGGGAGGGGTCAGGTAGAGGAGGACTGAGGGGTCCGGGAGGGTCGGATGGGGGGACTGAGGGGTCAAAACAGGGAGCTACGAGATAGAGCCAGAGTCAGAGCGAAAGGAATAGGACGTGTTTCAGTTGATATCGCATGGGTGTTGATATCGCAAATGATTCGACATGGGTAAATCGTTTCGGCGACGTTGTGCCCCCGGAGTCAAACACCACTATGAACATCCGCTCGCTACGCACGCAGGTCCTTGGGTCAGCCTTCCACACCGCCCTCCCTGTGTCTCAGCGGACCCTGTGAGCCGGCGGCACACCCACTGACCGCAGGATCTGGTCGCTGAAGCCAAACAGGTTGACGTTCAGGGGGTCGTCCTTCAGGTGGCTGTTCTCGGCCTGAGTGTGACTGGAACACAGCGCGGGAATAAAGTCAGCAGGGGCCGACACAGTGTGACGCCGAACCAGCATACTAGAAAACACTCGACGCTTGCGTGACTTGAAAGGCAAAGCTTATACCATGTCAAAATCTGATTAAAAATTAAAAACCAGTCTGTGTTTATGATGTGTCCCAAGAAAAAGAATAAATGCAATTTCGCAATGGCCGATTCACTCCGAATCATGAAAGTACTGCAGCATGCAGTAAACAAAACCATTGGCATTTTACAGAGACGCTATGCCACCCAAAAAGCCCCTCCCCTCTCCCATCGGCAGAGTCGGGACTGACATGAGGTCGACGTTGACGAACTGCAGGCCCGGGTTGACCGTCTCCCTGTAGAGCTGCAGGGTACGGTTCAGGTGCCACGTGGCCGCTCCAGAGCCCAGCACCACCACGTTGTCAATCTGAGGAACAGAGAAACGGATTCGTTAGCTACTTGATTGACGATCCCAGACTGCCTCAGCAAGGGACAGGAGAAACGAACAGACATAGTTCCAGCATTCTAAAAACGCCCAGATAATATTAGACGTCGGTAATGTTTGGAATGAACGAAAAACGGTACTCAGATGTTTATAGCTACTGATTTTCCGAATAGCACCATGGGATTTACCTCATGGAGTAAAAACGAAACAGCGACGGTCAGTCAAGCTTCAGTTGTTATACTTGCACGCATTTAGCACTTGCGATGCATATTTATAGCTACGTTCAAGCATTCCATAACGGTTTCCGACTAGCATGCCTGCCATCTAAGAGTTATATGAGTTCTTGTGAAAACACACACCGGATGTCAAATGCTAAATAACCAGAAGCTCGACAGCAATATGCTCGCACTATAAACACTCATACAGACAAACAGCACTTGACGTGACTAAGAGAGCCGCATCCTGCCAGGACAGAACCAGGGTAAAACAAATAAGGGAAGAACGGGGAACTTGGCCGCCCCCACCTGTGCGATAGCCGACGCAAGTGAATGAAATGACTAGTTCGTTTTTTTTTCAAAAGGACGCTGGCTCAAAGTTCAATATCGAAGCTCTCACATGAGTTTTGGCAGCTTCAGTGTCTGGTCAAGATAGTTATAGTTAACTATTTACCGATCTCAGCTAGTGCCAGCACCGGTCCAAATATGTCAGTACCAGTTCGAGCATCTGCACCAGCTCAAGTGTCAATAACGGCTCGAGTGTGGTGTCATTCTCAGCACGCGCCGGCGCGTCATCGGTCCCCGTACCCGTGTCCCCACACACGTCGGCCGCTCACGCTCCGGGCTCTGTCGCGCGAGGAAACCCCTCGCGGCGGTCACGTGCGTAATCCCGTGCCCCGCGCCGCTCGCGCCGTGAGCCTGTTAGCGGTCTCGGAGGTCGATCCAATTAAGCCGCGCTCGGCCCAACTCGGGTCGGCTGTCGGAATCGACAGACGACGTCGGCGAGTCGCCGCGGGCCGCACACCCGTCCGTCCGTCCGTCCGGTACGCGGCGGGCACCGGCTGGTCAGAGAGGGAGGCCCCAGAAGGCAACAGTATGCAAGGTAAGGATGAAGAAGCAAATTAAGGAGGGAGGACTGCTCCAGGAAGGAAGGTTATGAGACTGGGATGGAGAAGCCTGCGGCTGAAACGTGGGGTCAGTCCTTTGTTTGAAGTTCGATCCAAACACCACGTGACGATTGGGCCGTTGTACTATACGAGCCGTGGTGCTGTAGGGATTCACTCAAGCTAATCATAGGCTTTGACACCTGAGTACAGGTGGTTATGTAAAACATTAAGCTGTTTAAGCTTTTGGACCTTGTTTTAATTATCGAAAAGATACCAAGTAAAGATAGGGTAACCTCATCCAGGTACGACTTCAGCCCCATCGTCAGACCCCGCCCGGCACGCTACTCGACTGTTGACTGAACACCGCGCACCTGTCCCGCCCGTCTACCCCCAGACACCGATCGTCTGCTGGTCGTCTCGGCCAGTCTGACGCTCATCTCTCTGCTGCTGCTGCTGTGGGCCGGCTCTACGGGCGCCGCCGACCCCGCTGCTGCCGTCACCTCCCCTCCTCCTCCTCCTCCACCTGCGGTGCCGAGCTCAGACCGGCGCCGGTCGCTGCTCTCCCCGCGGCGCCGCTACCCGCCGTGCCAGTTCAACCCGCAGTGCAGCTGCAGTAACTCCGGCCCCGACCTCGGACTGGTCGAGTGCGACGGCGTGCGCATGGTGCACGTCCCCACCGCCATCAACACCACCAAGGTGTTCTCACTGACACTGCGCGACAACGGACTAGGGGAGATCGACGAAGATCGGTTCTTCATGGCGCGTGAGTCGGTAGGATGGGTTGCTGGCGATTCATCTTCCACACCACAGACTACCTATTGCGCTGAGAAAGGGATATGTGAAATACGGACCCAGTTTCAGGATCGAGCCACTTATCCTGCCGCTACCTTATCAAACCTCCTATGGGCGACCCTTCTTGCATCAATTGGATTCAACCACTAACCGTTCTGAGTACTCCCATATCTCGTTTTAAAATTATTAACTCCAAGAGTCCACCGCCGAGCTGACACCCCTGCGTTATCCCCAGGTCTGTGGCGGCTGGCAGTGCAGGATAACGAACTCAGATCGGTGCCAGGCCGCGCCTTCAGCGGCCTGGAGCGCTCTCTGTGGCAGCTGGACCTCAGCGGTAACCGGCTCACCCGGGTGCCGCACCAGGCCGTGCGGTCGCTCAGCAACCTCCGCCTGCTCGACCTGTCACGTGAGTCACACCTGTGGCCGGTCACGTGATTAGTGACAGGTCTTGGTGACCTGTTTCGGAAGCCAGGCATGTGGACAACGAACTACGATCAGTGCCGGGCCGCGCCTTCAGCGGCCTGGAGCGCTCGCTGTGGCAGCTGGACCTCAGCGGCAACCGGTCGCCTTTGGGTTCGCCATCCATTGGGTTCAGATTGCTGATCGTTTTGAATACTTCCCTGCCTCGTGTTAAAATACGTCAACTCCGCGACCTAGCTGGGTCGCCTTTGATATAACTCGGACTCGGCGAACTCTCACGAGAGTGGGCGGAGTCGATGGCCGTCCTACCAGATATATCAATTTGTTCGCATTATGTTTTGGTGATTGGCGTTTTGGATGAAACACTGCAGCATTGTTATTCAGGAACCCATCATTGGATACAGCCTTCTCTGAAGCAGGCGAGCTCAAGCTACAGGCGAGCCATGTTCAGGCTATGTAAGGCAGCGATCTAAATCAGTGCGAAGCCCACACAATGACAGCGACTCTAGCATTTTATTTTCGGGAAGACTAAGAAAGTAGCTTTTCTGACGTGGATGGCCGGAGGGATGTCATTGCCTTCCGACAGTCGAGCGCTCCTACGGGGCTTCACCGTCCCCTGGCCATGACCCGGGCTGTGGCTGGATCAATGCGGAGACACGGGTCGGGCCGGACCCGGCGCAGGTGCCCACATGTGGGTCTTCTTCGGCAGTCAGAGCGTACCGCAAGAGCTAAATATATCACGGCAATCCTCACAAAAACTTATATGACGTGGTTCGCTGACACCAAATACCTATATCGAAATTAATTTCATTTTGACATCAAATCGATGCAAACGCTGGTAAAAATGCTCGTCATAAAATTATTATTATTAAACTTATCACAGCCCCAGTCAAACAGTTCTGAACAGTCTTCCACTTTCACAGATAACCGCATATCGACGGTCCGTCGGAGCGACCTGCAAGGCCTCGAGTCGCACCTGGAGACGCTCGTATTGGCCGGCAACTTTCTGCGCCAGCTGCCCGCAGACCTGGTGAACGGCCTCGGCGTCCTCCAAGAGCTCGACCTGTCCACGAACGTGCTGACCACGCTGCCGGCCGGCTGCCTGTCCGGCGCGCCGCGACTCACTGAGGTTAACCTCGCCGGTAACCTGCTCACCGAACTGCCGTACGCGGCGCTGAAGGGGACGCCCGTGACGACTGTCCTTCTCGGAGGGAACCTCATCAACGACACCAGGTCGGTGGCCAGCCAGGAGGGCGGCGATGGCCCCCAGCTACAGCTGCAGGTGCTCGATCTGAGCGAGAACCGCATCAGCTACCTGCCCGAGTCCGCCTGGAGCGACTTCGCGCAGCTGGACTCGCTCACACTGCGAGGAAACCAGCTGGAGGAGGTTGACGAGGCGGCGTTCGAGTCGGCACCGGCGATCCGTGAGCTGTACATGTACGACTGTTCGCTGCGCGCGCTGGAGAACAACACCCTCGTACCGCTGGCCGGCTCACTGCGTGTGCTCGACCTCGGCTACAACCAGCTGACTGAGTTCCCCTGGCACACTCTGCCCGAAGGACTTGAGACCCTCGCGCTTAACGACAACCGACTAGCTCACATCTCCGCTGAGGAGCTGAACCGCCTGGGCAATCTGCAGAAGCTGAATCTGCTCGGTGAGTCGATGGGCGAGCTGAACGTGAGCGCGCTGACTCTGGACCTCCGTAATGTCGGCCTGAGCGCGCTGCCCAGCCGGCGACTGACGGCCGAGCAGACGGACGGCGTCGGGGAGTCCGTGCGGAAGCTCTACCTCGGCCAGAACCGTCTGGAGGCCATTGACGCAGACGCCTTCAGTGGCTGCCCGATTCTAAAACACCTGGACCTCTCGCACAACCGGATCGGCGAGCTGAACGCGGCTGCGTTCGAGAAGCTCGGCCCCAGCCTAGAGAGCCTGATCGTGTTCGATGGCTACTCGGCAAACGAGTTCCCGGCCGATCAGCTACAGTACCTCACCAGTCTGAAGACGCTCGACTTCTCTGGCAACCGTATCGCCACGCTGCCAGCCGAGTCGTTCTCCACGATGCGCGACCTGAGACATCTGGTGTTAGAACACAACCGCGTAACTCAACTGGACACGGAGCTGTTCAACGCCGACAACACACCCAGCCTGCACACTGTGCACCTCGACTTCAACCAGGTCTCTGGAGTTGGCGCCGGCACGTTCCGCCATCTCGAGGCGCTGCAGGAGGTGCGTCTCGCCGACAACGCGGTCTCCTCGCTCTCGGAGGGAGCCTTCAGCGACCTGGCCCAGCTGCGAGCGGTGTCACTGGACGGTAACCGGCTCACGGAGCTGCCGGACAGCACGTTCAGCGGTCTGCCGCGCGCCAGCCGCATCTCACTCGCCCACAACCAGCTGACAGCACTGAACCTGGACGCCTTCGATCAGGTGGGCACCCTGGCCAGCCTGCAGCTGGACGCCAGCCACAACCAAATCGTCGCGCTCGACATGGAGCGCGAGTACTGGCATAGCTTCACCAGCTTCGAGTACCTCGACCTCAGCCACAACCGGATCGGATACATGACCGGCAAGTTCTTTGAAACGATGCGCTCGTCGCTCACACACGCGTCACTGGCGCATAACAACATCACCAACATCACGAGGGATGTGTTCGGATTCATGCCTTACATCCAGCTGCTTGACCTCAGCGACAACGCCATCGATTACATCGACTACGACTCACTGCGCAGCGCCGTTAACTTACAGACACTCAACGTGTCGCGCAACAACCTGACTGAGCTGCCAGCCGAGCTGGTCCAGAACCTGGTCAGTTTCCGCGTCCTAGACGTCTCACACAACCACCTCACCGAGCTACCGGCGAACCTGTTTCGCCGGACGGCGCTCCAGATCCTGCGCGCCTCCCACAACAACCTCACCACCTTCCCGGGCGACTGTCTGAGCCGCGTCGGTGACACGCTGTGCGAGCTGGACCTCAGCCACAACCGGATCGCCATCCTCACTGATGACCTGCTGCACCGGCTCGGCCATCTCGCCCGGCTCGACCTCTCCCACAACCGGATTCTGTCGGTGGAGGCGGGTGCCCTCCGCGGCGTCCGCTCGCTGCGCCGACTCGACCTCTCTGGTAACCCGCTCGGCGACCTGTCGGCGGCCGCCGCGCTGCGCGACCTGCCCGAGCTCCGCCGGCTGCGGCTGGCCAACGCCTCGCTCACCCGGTTCCCCACCGTGTCGGCCTACACCCTGGAGGAGATGGATGTCTCCGAGAACGCCATCATCTCGCTGCGCGCCGAGGCGTTCTCGAACCTGACGTCTCTCCGGCGTCTGGACCTGGCCGCCAACCGCCTCACGGTCGTGGACCGCAGCGTCTGGAGCATGCTCTCCGACCTGCGCATCCTCAGTCTGAGCGGCAACCCCTTCAGCAACGTCTCCCAGCTCAGCCTGGAGGGTCTGGAGCAGCTCACTGAGCTGGACCTCTCAGACATCGACACCAGCGAGATGCAGGTGGGTTTCTGGGTTCTGGAATATCCAATAATTTCGGGATGGTATTGAGACCGAGTACTGAATAATAAGCTGGTAAGAAGGATGAAAAACAGCCACCACTCATTTACAAAGGAGTTGATAATATAAAAAGATTTAGACTTAAGCCTTCATAAACAGTAAACATTCCTTTAAAAAGGCAATTTTTCGTGCAGCACAAACCAAAAATAGCAAATGTAATGCAACCTCCTTATCATGGTACCCTCCCTTCCACAGCCAGACCTGCTGACGCCGCTCGAATCGTTAACACATCTGACAATCAGCATCAACGACATCACTAGCAGCCCCATCTCCAGCGACGGTGATGACGACAGCGGCCTGCCGGCTCTCCTGCGGCGGCGGCCAAGCCTGCGTCACCTGCACGTGCGCCTGAACGGGACGCTGACGTCCGAGCTGGACGGCGAGCTGGGTCACCACCTGTGTAACATCACCATCAGCGGGCCAGCCGCCGACGGGATCGCAGCCGGCGCGCTCAAGGTGAGAGAACGTGCCACACGGGCTAGCGAGGAGGGCCGGAAATGAGCGACCCACATGGTCTTGTGATGGGACTGAGCTGGTGCAGACAGAGCAGAGATAAAGCAGTTGACAGCGAGGTCATCAGTCATCAACTGTTGCCTGCTTGTGGGCTAAAAATGCCTCGCATGATCATTTGGGGTTCGAGATGCACGGAGGCCATCAGCGAAAGATCATCATGAGCCATTTCTATTTCATGATAACATGTTCCATGCCCCGCTCTAGTATCTGGCCACGGTGGCCGCTGCACATTTTCTAAACCATTTGGATCTTGTTCTCCGCAGCGTGTCACCTGCCACCACCTGCACCTGGTGCTGGGCGATGTACCGCGGCAGTTCCGGCTGCCGGCCGCCGTGTTCCAGTCCCTGGACCCGGCCGTGCGCTACGTGTCGGTACGGACGGACGGCCCGGTGGCGCTCGGGCGGCCCTTCACCAGCGAGCACCCGGGCCGCGCCGGCTCCGTGTTCCTCACCGACCTGAGCCTGGACGGAGACGGATGGAGCTGCGACTGCTCCGAGACCGGCATCGGGTCAGTGGGTTGGCTGGGCACTAAACTGGGCGGGGTGGGATGGGAGTGGGCGAGAAGGGGTGTGATTAGTCAGGAAGCGACAGAGCGTGACAGGAAGGGACAGGGTGAAATGGAATGGGACCTACTTTAAAGACTCGTCAGGAGCAAGGAATTATTCCACCGATGACATCATAGTGTGGGAACAAGGTGACTGAGGATATGCAGAGGGAGAAGTGAGAAATATGTAATGTGGTAACTGAAAGATTGCTACTACCTAATAGCGTTCTTCTTTCTAGCGTTCTACTAATAGCGACGGTAGCGTTGGTAATTGGAATGCAATCGAATACCAAAGCTTGCCGAGCGGCATCACATGCATGATCAACTGAAATACTTAGATAAAATACGCCCTTTTCACAAAACCGGTACTCCATTATTCACTAACCCTCTATTATTTATGTTTTCAGGTGGGTGGAGCAGTGGTTGAGCGTCTGGCGCCACAACTACTGTCCCCAAGGCGACGACGACGACTTCCAGTGTCAGGATACGATCCGACGTCTGAGAAGGGCTCGCTGCTCCAGCGGCAAATCTGTGCTGGCCGCGCTCAGCTCTGACGTCGAGTGTCACAGCAACGGCGCTGCGACGATCAGCGCCGCCGCACTGCTGCTCACCGCAGCCCTGACGCTCCTAGCTGCCAGCGCCACCTACTAAGCAGAGCTTCGCCGATTCACCACGGTGGCAGCATGTCAGTGATACGGCAGCTTTGCCTCTGGAAACGGTTGTGTGGGCGAATGGAAATCAAACGATACGCCGTTATGTTGTGCTTATCCAGGTTTTTGAATAAAGCTTATGGAGAAACTTGAACCATAAGTCCGACTCTGTATTAAAGGGACTATCCCACCTTTAACATGGGGTTTGAGTTGAGATAGCCAAGTTTGCGGCGGGGTTCAGAAACCACTATCTATCTAGGTTGCAACCCCCGCGGCCTCTTGGTGTTGAAGAAATTCGTTCCCTTCATTTGAAAATGGGCCTTGTACAAGGCCCTATCTTCAACATGGAGCGACCGTTAGTGTGGCGTCACCTCGTTTAGTCATTCTGATTTAAATGGGGTTGTTGGTTGAAAAATCGCTTAAAACTTGGTCTGAACTTTGTTGTGGTGCCTACAGAGTAAAAAGAATCAGCTTTATGACAGTAATGTGGCCTGGGGAACGAAGTAATTTTGGGCTGTGACGTCACATATTTGAAAGTTTGTGTTTGGAATATGGGAAGCCTAAGATGTTTAATGAAAAATAAATGCCAGAACCGTGTTCCTGGTCATCCAATCTATAAAATCGGGCACAATTTAACTGGTTTTAACAACATTTTAGAAGGTGGGATAGTCCCTTTAAGCCTGAAACAGACTCTTTCCGCAGTCAGGAAATCGCATGCGAGAGCCTATTCAAATACATGGAAGCACGCTCGCATCAATCGCACACACCTCCCGCAAGCGATTGATGCGAAAAGAATTACAATGTATTTGAATAGGCTCTCGCATGCGATTTCCTGAACGCGGAGAGAGTCTGTTTCAGCCTTTAGTCTGTGAAGTCGGCTGCTTAGAGAACATACCTATTGTCGAAACTCCAAATATGACCTCGAACGAAGACGAGCAAAACGCGACTGACAGTTGTCATCCATAATCCCACCCTAGGACAACTTTACATCAAAAGCCGTATCCAAAAATTGCCACCGAAACACGCCAACAAAAATTTGACGCAATACTCAGTCTTCCACCTCCCTGAAGGGCCATCAACTCAGCTTTACGGCAGTTTGTGCAGGGACAGTGATCGTCATTCGTCAGCCCGCCCACCGCCTATTCACGTCATGTATTCGACACCACAACGGTTTGTGCGAGTCACAGTGGTGGTCCTCCCTAACGTTCCACAAGTGAAAACGAATAGTCACGTGCCAAAACCGGTGTCGTGGCGATGCAGGTTCCAAGATCGGTCACGTGAGTCGGGAACATTAGCATCGACAGCACTCTGAGCAGTAACAGAGCGGGTCACGTGTTGGCTGCCAAAATAACCGGCTTGCCGATTTGTTTGAATGGGATAAGAGCTTCTGACTCACCAAACCATTCATCTTTGCTTCTTTCTCTCTCCCGATCGTGCGATGGCGATGCATCCAAGGGCAAACTAAAAATACACCCGTACAAAAAAAAAAAGAAACAAAAGAGCCTATCACATCACGACAGCTGATAACAAATCAATTTTTTCACTGCAAGCTACTAACGTAACAAAATAAATGCATGTAAAGAAGACTACGAGTCTGTACGCCTTTTCAGTCGGTAACCACTCCCAGTCCTTCCGAACACGGTGACCCAGGGGCCGGTTAATTAGGCCCACTGACTGGCCAAAGTCCAGTCTACCACTGCAACTGACCACTGACCCGTCGTGACCAGTGACCGGTCGTGACTGTCCACTGACTGGTCGTGCCCACGCACTGACCGACCTGACCAATGACCAGTCGTGGGACCAGCCCGGCAGTGGCCACTGTTCGGGGGAAGCCGGTGCCAAATGGCATTTACGGACCAGTTCAAAGCGGCTGGTGATTGGCCAAGCCCAAGAACAAATAGAAGTGGTCGGTCAGGAAGTCAATAATATCATAAGGCACCTCACATGGTTCTGGTATGAGGCTCATTTTTAGTCTTTTTTGAAGTCGTAAGACACAAGACTTGGAAAAGCCCGCATTCGGCACCCGGCACAGGTCATCCAGCCCGTCTCTGTGCGCCCCTGGCAGCCACCCTACCGACCATCCACCGACCGTGATTGATGACGCCCGGCCGCTGATGACGGATGGCGCAGCGTCTGCCGCCGCCGGTCAGCGTCATCCACACGCGGGCGTCATCGTAGCGTCATCAGCCGTCGTGCGGCGCCATTCGGAACGGGAAGGCTATTGGTGCGCGCACCGGCGAGGGCATCCAGAAAGGTGATGTCACCGAACGGAATGTTTCACGGTCACACGCACCAGTGCCTGTGTATAGTGGGACTATGAAGAGTCATTGGAGTCACGATGGAGAGTCAGCGGAGTCACGATGAGAGTCAGTGGAGTCACAGTGGGTGTGTTGAGAAGCTGAGGAGAAAAATAGCGAGTCATGCTCCTCCCCAAATATCTGATGAGAACACATGCAGACAGTCATGAAAAATGGTGACAACCGGACGGCCAGTAGCCTTCCGTGATGGACTTTGGGGGCGTTTGGCTTCAGAGAGCCGGCCAATATTATTGACTCATTCATGACACATCCATGGAGAGAAACTTTGACGAGTCCCTTCTAAACGCCAGCCGAGTGAGCGGGCCGCACCTTTCACCGACCACCGCGGGGAGCCTGTCTGTCGCCACCTGCACCAGCTGCAGGAGCCGTCCTGCGCCGGCTGCAGGAGCCGTCCTGCCAGACTTCACCGCCGACCTGACACGGCAGCGACACGCCTGGTTCGTGTCACGGTATTACAGCATCGCCAGCAGCCGCCGGTCGTCATCAGGCGATAGTGCCGCGCACGGCCCCAGCTCGGTGACAAAGCAAGCCAGCTACGTGACAAGCCGGGTGTCGCCTCAGCGCTGGGCTCACATAGAAAGGAGGCAGCACCCGAAGAGCTGACCGAGCGGTCCGAGAGACCAGGCGGCCGGCCGAGCGAGTGAATGGGTGGGCGGGCCACACAAAAACCGCGCACCGTTCGAGATGATCGCGGTCGGAAGAAGCGGGGAGTGGATTAGACTGGCCAGCATCTCACTGTGAGCAGTGAGACAGCGTAGTCCAACACAAAGAAAAGCACCAAAGCGATATGCATTATGCAGTGATATAATAGATGACTGTGAATGCGAGCGAATTCACAAGCGCCGCTAATCTCTGCATTAACATCAAGACAGGAACAGGGGAACTAACGTTAGATGGCGCACAATAAGTCAAGTTCGAAAGCAATAGCTGTTCTCCAGCCCAAATTAGCCCCGTCCAATCAATTTATCATCTGACCCGACTACCGAAGGAGACCGTTCATCCTTGGCGCTCCATTTGCGGTGCCACGCAAACGAGCCGCCGCGTGGGTCCGATCGCCCTGATCGTTCGCTCTCCGCAATTGTCACGGCCTGATTCTCATGGGCTGCTAGTGCTGGCTGCTGGCGGTTGGACCAAAAAGATCAGCAAATAGTGTGTGAGCAAGCTCGGTTCGCGATAGTCAGCTAAGCTCGTTCCAGCCTTTAAAGTGGTTCACTGTAAACAGCTCCAAAACATTTTCCGCTCTGACACACAACCACTCTGGAATGCGTCCTATGATCGCAAACACCAGCCAGTTGATCGCTCTCAGGGCCAGCCCTTGCAGCGTGCCGTGACCACGCCCCTCGTTAGCGACTTTAGTGAGCCTGTGACCGACAGGGAGCAGTCGCGCTAGGACCCCCGCCAACCCAGGACAAGGCCGCAGCGAACCGCAGCGGTAACCAGCGCTCACGAGATACGGCCACCGCAGCTGCAGCCACCGGCGACCCTGGCCGCGTCATTATCGCAAACAGGCGCGGCACAATAAACGAACCGGGCGCCGCTGAGACCGCAGCTGTTAACCCGGGGAGAGATTGTTTCCGGCCAGATCTAATCAGTGATCAGTGATCGGTGAACAGGGCCGGTCTCCACGACCGTCACTGGAAAACTGGGACAGTCAGTCGCCGCCGCAGCTGCGACGGAGTATCGCAGCCGCGCCCACGACCAATGGGTAAATTCCGCCGTCAGCGCCGAGCGCGGTCAAAGGAAAGTGGCTCACTGAAAGGGTGCTCATCAGCCCACACAGTGAGGATGGAGGTCTAAAGAGTCACCTCGGCCGGCGGGTCAGCGTTCGAGAGGACCTATTCGGACGATAATAGTGTTAAGTTCCATGGATCTAGCCGTCACCAGATCAAACGCGCCGTCCGCCGACTCCAGCGGCCGAAATCTCCCGATGACGTGGATTACCTCCCGGTCTCAGCGAGGCCAGCCGATCAAACATCTCGCCCCTGACGGATGGCTGCCGGTGGGGCCTGGGGCCAACACCACCGAGCGTAAATCCCAGACACCCGGTCCGCTGGTCCAACTGGGACCGCAGGTCAGTCTTCCATTGATCTTACAGCCGGAATGTCCCAAACAAAGAAACCAACAAAAACAGAAACTACTGGTCTTGTACCTACGAGTCCCAGTTAGGTCCAGTCGAGTCCATCCCGTCTAGTCCAGTCGAGTCAAATTAGCTCAGTGCTCTCAGACAGGTTCCTGTCATCAGACATCAGTCGCCGAGTGAGCCTCAAGTCGACTGACAGAACGCCGCGAGTTAGAAGTGGGACGTGCCAATTCCTCTAACTAGTGCCCATTCATCATTGTAGACCGACACATGTTTAGTTTTGATGTCTTTTCAGAGTGACAGTAGACCCATAATAGCCACACTCGCTCCAGTAAGCGTGGCGAAAGACACGAGAGGTGTTAATGGTGATGAACTTCCACAAAAACGTGCCATAGCAGCACAAACAATTACGACAAGCCATTATCTAAACAGCTCCGTCACCAAAGAAAGCCTCACGAATCCATTAGGACCGCATCAGGGACCTGTCCATTTCCAAACTCACCGATCACCAAACATAACGTCAGTGCAGTCAACCATATCAATGGTAATTCACCGTCACCACTCGTCACCCATTGACTCTAAGCCGAGCTTAACATATCAGCAGTAGTTTACCCGTCACTGACATCTATCAGTCCACTACCTCAGTCCACCAAATTATTACCAAATTACAAATTCCAAATTACTGCCGGAGTAATTTATCGTCGCTGGATCATCAGTTCAGCTCACCACATCAGCCGTGATCTGCCGTCACTTTAGGTCATCAGTACAGTTCACGTCACCCCTTGATCATGATTTGTGTTGCACCCGATGTTTTTTTTTCTTGTCGTGAATGAAGTGTGAATGAGCTAGTGTGTGAGGAAGAGGTGCCCTGAAATAAGCTGAATAGCTTTTGCACCGATCCCAGAGTGTATAATGTCTAAATATGCGAAAATATTTAATAAAATCGAGCAAACAAGAAAAATCAACAACCCGTAATTCACTGCTGCCGTTCACCGTCAGACCATCTGCGGCCGGCGGTGCCGTTCCATCGTGACCGGCACAGGCACGACGGCGAAAGCGAGCACCGTCGGCACGTCAGCCGGGCCAGACCGGTGCAAAAACCCACAGACGGAGCGCCGTTTCACCGCAGCGGTGGGCCCGCAGACGGACGGGGCGTGAACGGGATGGGACGGGGCGGGGCGGGGCGGGAGGGTGGGGTGTGAAGGTGGAAAGGAAGCGTGATCAAGGCAGGTGCGTGAGATAGACAGAAGTTTAGGTGACAGACGTAAGTGATGCAGCTCCGTCGGAGCCCTGCGATGACCAGTGCAGCCTCGGGTCGACCTCATTAGGATACCCAAGCGCCGAGAGAGCACCACCATCATACGCACTGAGCTAGGGAGATGGCGCGACCCGTAACACGCACTGTCATCTAGAAGATAAGGTTGGGTGAGTCACGCACAGCTATCTGCGGACTGTAGACGATCCCCCAACCGGCACGCAGCAGTCCCGCCCAATATACGGCAGCCTAAGTCGGCAATACAGAGCAGACCCAACCGAGCCATAACGGTGTAAAACAAAGGGCAAATAAGGACCGGTTCACAGGACAGACGCTGACAATTTCCAGCACTCTAATGCAGCGCTCACACGAGGCTGATCCACCAGATCGTTTGGACAATCGACACAGTGGCTCAGACTCCGATACAGGTGTCTGTCGATACAGACTCCGATACTGGGGTGGACAGGACGGACCAACGGTACTGAAGAGCCCCGGGCACGTCAAGCTCCGTGGCCCGTCTGATGTGTTGGGAAGAGACGGCAGAGGCGCCATCAGAGAGACGAGAGGCTATCGAAGAGACGAGGAGACGACCAAAAGACGGCGAGAGCTATTGGTCAGACACTCAGAAGCCAATAAAGACACGAGACTCCGAGCGGTCATATCGCCCGTTACACGAAAGACGTACTGAAGACTGACGAGAATCACAACATCCGGCAAATTTTGTAGGGGTGGGGAGAACAGCTAAAAAAGAACTGTTCCGTGCAACTTCATATGACGTAACGTAGACACGTAGTCCCACGTAACGTAGTCCCACATGCCACACTGCACGGGTCAATTCAAGCACGTGCTGAAAAGGCACGTCAAGCAGCCCGTTTCCGTCTTCTCCAGCTGCAAACCGCTGCAGGAGAGCTGAACTGAGACCCGCTTTGCATCCACTATCTGCTTCTGCATGCAACTCGTTTTGTGGCGATTTGCTGGGCTAGGAACAGGAAGTGGCACCGGCCAATGAACTAGTTCCGAGCCGTGGTGGCCCAGTCGGATGGAAACCGGGCCGCGAAATCAGTAAACCGTGAGAAGGCGCCGCCGACACTTTACCTGGTACCAGACCACAGTGCAGGAACACTGGACTGCTTTGGACCGTGCTGATAATTCGCAAATTAAACTATATACAAACGAGATTAGATTACAGTCAAATGAAAATACGCACCACATTGTCTCGTGCAGTGGCATACCATTGTCCATAGACCTCTGTACGTCGACCTCGACCTTGGTATACAGATTACAGAGGTCAATGCTTAGTCACAAAAAAAATCAGCATGACCAAACGAAGGTGCCCTTAGTTCAGTCAAAAGAACTGCTCATCGTATGGACTGTTGATGAGGACGTCCGACAATGTTGGAAATACTTCCTTTTCGTCTGGCCAAACTGCTTATACTGCCTTAGCTATCCGGTATCCGCTGAGTAAAACCCGAATGTCAAATATCAAATATTATTTGATGACAACCACCACACGCATTTCTACTAATTCTGTCCATCAGCTCCTTACAGCCGTCTCTCAGCGCGTCATCCCCGGCGCCGGGCGGGGGCGGGGGCGGGGGTGCGCCACTCTCGCCACCACACTCGCCGCCGCCGCCGTCTGCCGCCAGTCCCGTCAGTCCCAGTCCGGACCCGCTCCAGGTCGGTCGGTCGAGTGGCAGTGTGAGGGAGAGTGACGCGGCGCGTGGCCAGCCGTGCAGCGGAGGACGGCTGCAGTGGGGCAGACTGGACAAACTACTCAGTGACGGACGAGAGCAGTGCAACAGTGACTGTGAGGAAAGACTGGAGTTTGTAATACGAGAAAGGACCGGTACTGTTGCTGAAAAAAGCTGCAAACGGACACAAGGACCTAGAGCAGCAAAGGTCAGTAAACAGCTGCATGTGTGTTTTCAGTACTTCAAAATACTTCTTTACTTTTCCAAAACTTGCATATAACGCTTAGCCAGCAAATTAAAACAATATTTCATTTTGTGTACCTATGAATGGATGTTTTATATTAAAAACATCGAAAATATAGGACGCTAGTATACATATAATGCCAAAGTCCATCAGTCAGCGCTTTAGAGTGTCATTGCTGACTCAATTCACCGCAGCGCCGGTATAAATTGGTCACGCGATATTGGTCCTTCCAGAGGTCTCATTAGGCATTCCGCGCGGAGATTAGGGTCAGTGATCCCGGCCGGCTGCTGACACAAAACCGGCGTCGTGTACACGGCAATAAATCGAAAACGTGTTCACATTCGGGAATAGAAAACAGAGCCGCATGCATCTGTGATTTCCAGACCAGATGACAGATCCGGGTAATAGCGTTGGCCGAGAAAGCACGATTGATCGTAATAGAGCTCCTGGATGGCTGGCTTTGCCTAATGGATGATACCAGCCCCAAGTTCGGATAATGGAATCCACAACCTAGGTTACATATAGCAAGTACCCAAAGTAGCCGTACTTTATTGACATTTGCAGTATTTTTTTTTCAGTCACTGCGCTATACAAAGCGTGAATAAGGAACACGGCACGGGGCGATACAGCCGCCTTTTTAGTTAAAACAAGCACTCAATGCTAACCAAATGCTTGGTTGGACTTGGTCATCGATTTCTTTCGGCAGAGCTATTTTCACATTCACCGTTGCAGTCTCCAGCCGTGTTGTGCGGTGCAGTATGTGCCAGCTGGGAGACTACAGCACTTCATGTGCAGTAACACCGAACACTACAGACCGCGCCGCGCTGCTGTCCCGGGGAATGCAGCGCCGCATGGTCGGTAGCACCAGCTGGTTTGGGAGACTGCACTGCTGCACAGGCGATAACACAGGCGGCATTCGTCCCCGAGAAGCTGGGTTTAGTGGGCCAAGCGATCAGCCACAGTCTGTGTCCACTATACTCCGGTACCCTCTGTACCCAAGCTATCGCTGTACCCTGCGCTATGCACCTATTGTGCCACAATCACCCCCGCACCCTGCCGGGCTGGCTGAGCGATCTCGCCGACCACAGGGGATGTGGGCGTGGTGCAGTTGTGATTTACGGCCAGCACCGACCACAGCTTTGTCAGCCATGTCGGCCTCATTTCAATCTGAATGGAACACCTCACATTGCTATTTATGGCTCAACGAGTTGGAGATTGTTTGCCCAACGAAATGAATAACGTTCGAGGAGAACATTCAGCTGATACCTTCAATTTGCATCCATTTCGTTCACATGCATGTTAACGCATGCAATTACCTGTTGGACTTGGGGCCCACCCACTTCCTGCAGTGACAAAAGAAGGTGGATACCGTACTATCTTTCTTTTGAGAGCTAACGGTTCAGTTTGCTAACACCATGTCCGCCTCCCAAACAGCTCACAGACCGCATAGCTGGCGAGCTATTCACTCACTAGCCTGCGATTCTCCGGATTCAGCTATCCCTGTCGAACCACTGCGCTGCGTCTCTCTCCATTTCTCTGACCACAGACACCGATACTCAGAGGCCCGCTCAGACAGACCTGTGCGTCCATCGACAGTGCCGGCAGTGTTCTCTCGCGGAGTTCCCACGGCCGTGGGAGTGCGGAGGCGCCGCCGGCCGGCCATCGCTCCATCGAACGGTCGTTGACGGGCCGATCTCTCTATCAGCGGATAGTGGACCGACCGCAGGTGACCGCCGGTGTCTCAGAGAGAATCGGGCGACGACGGCCGGCCAGGATCGCGGTGTGGCGGCGACCGGTGATGTGGCTAAAATTGTGAGGAAACTTTCGCCTCCGAGTGTCGCCGACCGTTCGGAAATTCCCAATCGAACGGCTCAGTTGGGGCATCCGCCTCAATATTTAGATTCTACCATCAAAGCTGAGCCAAGACCCTGAAGGGATTCCATGAATTTTCTCGGCACCTCCTGCTTTTTGAGGCCGTTGGCTTTATGCTGAAGGGACAGGGATGAAAATGCAAGAATGATAACACTTTAACTGCGACGCTGTGTCCATTGTCTAAAAGCAGGGATCAAACCCTGGCGTTGAGTCTCCCACCAAATCTGCCCAATGTCCATTCAGAATGGCGATAAGGCGGACCACAATAGTCCCATAAACTAAATTGAGCATCATTTCCAGTTTTCACCATAAATCACCGGTCTTTCAAATGATCTTCAGATAATACCACAAGCACTCACGTTTTTACCGAACAACAGCTTTCCAATTTCACAGCACCAGCTCCATCGAGGCGAGCATTCGCTCGACTCTTCCCTTGTTCCTACTCATTCGCATGCATCTCATATTGTCTTAATATTCATCCAAGCCCTTCCAGTTACCTCTCGAAAGTGAGACACTTGCTCCCAAACCTTTCAAGAGCTTCCAAATCCCCCTTCCTGTCTCACAGTCTCTTTTGTCCTTCCTCAGTCTCATCCTTCAGCCTCTCATGCAGCTCTCAGCCCGAGACTCGTTCCTCATAGAACTCATACGAGTCTCGTCGCTCGTCAGCCCTAAGTATATCCCTCAGTCCCTCGTGCCCTCATCCCTCCGTGCCCTCCTCATCCCCCGTGCCCCTCCGTCCGTGACCGACCGCGACCGATCGTGACACAGCCGCCCGCCGGTATGATAAGCGATCACCGCACACCTTAATCGGCCCGGGTTATTATGACCCAGCGGGACCGGCCGGCCGCGGCACTGATCAAACGGCGCCGCACTTCCGTGCCGCTCCACAGCGGCAGGCCACGCCCTGGACGGACTCACGGAGGAGACTCTGAGCAGAGTTGGGCGGACTCACAAACCGTCCTGGACGGACGCCCGGAGGGGATGGTGGTTGACTCCGAGCAATGCTAAGTGGACTCCCAGTCCCACCCCGTCCTGGACCAGAGCCAAGGTACGGGTACGGCACGGGCCAGAGCGAACACTTGAGTCGAACCTTGACTCCGCAGTCCGCCCAACTTCGGTCCAAAGCCAGCGGCCGACTTCAGTTACTCTGACCTGAGCAGACTCGCGACTGACCAAGCCGACATAGCCAGAAACCACGCAGTCAGCGATGTCCTCACACACCATAGTCGCTCCGAATCACAAACAGCCTAGACTGTCGACTCTTCTGCCTTGAGAAGAGCACACGTTTCATCGCTCCCCTCACAGCCCCCGCCAGGTAACCCGAGCAGAATAACTCCGCTAATGAAAGGGTTCTATCGAGCTAGAACGACCAAAACAGCCGCCCAAAAACAGCCCGTCAACAGCACGGTAAGGGTCCGACCCTGGCGTCTGCCGCCACGGCTCACTACAGCTCGGACCGGCACCGGTCGTCTAATTATCTGATGGGATGGCACGGGTGTCAGTGTAATGGGTGTCTTTATGGGGCGCCCTGCTGGATGCCAGCAACGTGCCGGGACAGGCGGGAGAGGTACGAGGGAGAGACGATAATAACGCGAACGAGGTGGGAGTCGAGCCGTAAACCGAATGGTGGAGGTCAAGGAAGGTGCATAACACTGACACTGGGAAAGGTTTGTAGCACTGACATTGGGAGGAGGGGAGAGGCAGACACTGATTTGATGCTTGTAGGCCAGGGCACGACAGTGGATGGCCACGGCTGCTAATCGTAAATCAATATGTATGCCACTCACATTACCACGTGCCGCTCGGCCGCGGACCAGGCCGCGCCGCCCGGCCGCAGCCACCTGGGCCGGGCCGGCCGCATTTAGCCGGTGCAGCCGTGCAGCTCGTGCCGGGTGCAGGTGCACGCGCCGCCGGCAGGCCGGCACACAAACGATGCCCGCTCGGACCGGCCCGGCTGGCGGATATATTAACCTGACCCGCCGCCGGCGACCGGAGGAATGTCAGCCGCTCGGCCCCGGGACGGAAAGGTGTCGGACGGGCCGGAGCGCCCAACTGACGCCCAAATGCCGAGAGAAAATGGCAATCTGTGCTAGTTTATTGTGGCTCAGTGGCGGAAGATGGCGGCTAATCTGTCTTGTGATTCCACAAAATTGAGTGACCGCAAGCGGCTTGTAACCAGAAACGAGGTTTCTAGCAAGTGATTATCTATGCTTTGTGCAAAACCCTTCTCTGGCCTGCAACCTAACTCTCGCAGATCAGGTATAAATAGCAAGCGGTCTGCGTTCCGCAACCTTTTCACCCCGTCTGCGGACGTCGTCTGGCGGTGGGTCCCGCACGCTGGACCAGCAATGCCGCTGATTGTTGCTGCAGCCGACCGCCTCTGACCCTTACCGTCCGCACCGTCAACCCGGCGCGGAACAATCGGTCAATCGCGGTGTGGGGCGGCGGGCCGCGTCTGCCGCAGGGCGCTGCACCGCTCACCGACGCTCCTCACAGACACCAGGCCGGAAACAGCGCAGCCATTACGCCGTCCCGTCTCCCAGAACGCCCGTGCCCGCGCAGGCTCGGTGATTACAGCTCGAGCGCCCGCCCAGGAACACCGCCAGGGCGGGCGGGGCAGCGCGGCGGCGGCCGAGTTTGTCTCAAATCGCGGTGAAAGTGGCGACGCCTCTGTGCCCGTGACGCGGTGACCCAACGGGGTCAACTGAACCCATCAGCGGAGGCAGCGGAGGTGGCGGGCGGGTCAGGACAGGGTGCAGAAGCGAGCTGGGGCGCGCCAGCGTAAACGAACTCAGGCGAGCCAGGCAGTCACAGTGGCGTAACCTGCACGGCGCCCACTCAGGCCTGACCCGGAGGTCACAGGTCGGGCGGCGCCGGTGGCAGCGCCTGTGTACCGACCCACGCCGCGCAGACAGGCGTCTCATGTAAATTAATAGAGCCTGGCGCCTCCAGTGAGCTGGGTCTCGGACAGACGTGATACCGGTGCGCAGGTCAAGGCCCTGGCGTCCCGCCGAGCGGAGCGGCCTCCACCTCACGCGTCAGCAGTCGGCCGGCCCTCGGCGGCCGCGCGGCAGTCGGCCAGCGAAACGTCA